GCCCATTAAATATGAATGGAAAGAAAAAAATGAAAATGTAATAGAGGTAAATGAAAGTACTGAATGCACAACTGGTAAGACAATTTCACTCTATATCTTAATAAATGTATTTTGGTCAGTATATTTTTACTTCTTTAAATTTTCATATGTACATAGCATTAAAAGTTGAGAAAGCTAAAGTTCCAATATTATCAGAGGAAGCTTCACCACTTAACTCAAAGTTATTGGAGTTTTCATGTTCCATTTGTAGTAAAGAATGGAAGACATTGACTGAATTAAAAGTGCATATAAAAACGCATTCTTCAACAAAACCTTATATGTGTGAAAAATGTGGTCAGGCATACAAGCGTAAACATGCATTAGAAATTCATATAGGAATGCACAATGGAATTAATCCATTCCAATGCAATTTCTGTAGTAAGTGCTTTTCACAAAAAGTATCACTTGTAAGACATTTGCCAATGCACACTGGTGAAACACTTTACCAATGTGAGTTATGTGGCAAAAGGTTTATACATCATACATCTTATAATATGCATAAACTATCACACAGTGGAAAAAAATCTTATAAATGCCATGTTAGTAATATGTTTAGATTTTATCTGTTTATCATTTTGTTCTCATAAAAAATATTAAATTGTCATTAATGTCTGCTTTTATTACAGATTTGTGACTTAGCTTTGCTTTCAACATCTCATTTAAAAAGACATATGCGAGCTCATACTGGTGAAAGGCCATATAGCTGTACATTGTGTGGAAAATGTTTTGCACAACGATATAATTTACTTGCACACCAAAAGCTTCATTATCCGTTTGAAAATAAAACAAAGATAATTAATGAAACACAATATCAGTATGTATATCAATTTAAAAATTTGTATTATAATTTTATATTTATAACATGACTATTTCATCTACAGATGTAGTTGCTGTAATCTGGTATTTGGACGTAACGAAAGTTTGCAGGAACATATCAGACAACATGGAAATAGAGATGATAAAACTCACTCATAATCTCTTCTGTTGAACCAAAATCAAATAATTTATCAAGGAATGTAAATACCGAGGACAATATACTATATGAAACGTGGATATGATTGAATCATTCGAAATTAGAACAAAATCTGTAATTCTTGAAAACCCTCTGCCCAAAATTGATGAGAGTTCCTTTGCAAGCACGTTCGATGATCAAAAATTGCCTATGGAAGTACAAATTATAAAACAAGTTTGCAGGTAATTATAGTCATCAGGTACTTCGATTTTAAATGATGATCTCCTCATTTGATGAAACTCATGTGTGATCAACTGTGGGACGATATTACAATAAATGCTAACCAATATTTATAAAGACTAATGTATCTTTCAATATTTTTAAGACCAGCATCTGAAAAAAGTTAGCTATTTTTTTTTTTAAATACACGAACAATTTCTACATTATATTTTAATAATTAGATTATAATTAAATTAATTCATTTAAGTAGAATAATAAAAGTTCCTTACATAAAAGTATTTTTGAGACAACGTGTTCACTCTACATGTAACTAATTGCTATGTACCAATGAACTTGTTAAAAATAAAGTATAATAAATCTAAAATAAACAAAGCTTATAAATTCTTGCAATTAATAATTATCTTCGTCAGGACATTTCTTTGAATCACGTGGCATTTGACTAGGCATTAAATTTTTNGCCCATTAAATATGAATGGAAAGAAAAAAATGAAAATGTAATAGAGGTAAATGAAAGTACTGAATGCACAACTGGTAAGACAATTTCACTCTATATCTTAATAAATGTATTTTGGTCAGTATATTTTTACTTCTTTAAATTTTCATATGTACATAGCATTAAAAGTTGAGAAAGCTAAAGTTCCAATATTATCAGAGGAAGCTTCACCACTTAACTCAAAGTTATTGGAGTTTTCATGTTCCATTTGTAGTAAAGAATGGAAGACATTGACTGAATTAAAAGTGCATATAAAAACGCATTCTTCAACAAAACCTTATATGTGTGAAAAATGTGGTCAGGCATACAAGCGTAAACATGCATTAGAAATTCATATAGGAATGCACAATGGAATTAATCCATTCCAATGCAATTTCTGTAGTAAGTGCTTTTCACAAAAAGTATCACTTGTAAGACATTTGCCAATGCACACTGGTGAAACACTTTACCAATGTGAGTTATGTGGCAAAAGGTTTATACATCATACATCTTATAATATGCATAAACTATCACACAGTGGAAAAAAATCTTATAAATGCCATGTTAGTAATATGTTTAGATTTTATCTGTTTATCATTTTGTTCTCATAAAAAATATTAAATTGTCATTAATGTCTGCTTTTATTACAGATTTGTGACTTAGCTTTGCTTTCAACATCTCATTTAAAAAGACATATGCGAGCTCATACTGGTGAAAGGCCATATAGCTGTACATTGTGTGGAAAATGTTTTGCACAACGATATAATTTACTTGCACACCAAAAGCTTCATTATCCGTTTGAAAATAAAACAAAGATAATTAATGAAACACAATATCAGTATGTATATCAATTTAAAAATTTGTATTATAATTTTATATTTATAACATGACTATTTCATCTACAGATGTAGTTGCTGTAATCTGGTATTTGGACGTAACGAAAGTTTGCAGGAACATATCAGACAACATGGAAATAGAGATGATAAAACTCACTCATAATCTCTTCTGTTGAACCAAAATCAAATAATTTATCAAGGAATGTAAATACCGAGGACAATATACTATATGAAACGTGGATATGATTGAATCATTCGAAATTAGAACAAAATCTGTAATTCTTGAAAACCCTCTGCCCAAAATTGATGAGAGTTCCTTTGCAAGCACGTTCGATGATCAAAAATTGCCTATGGAAGTACAAATTATAAAACAAGTTTGCAGGTAATTATAGTCATCAGGTACTTCGATTTTAAATGATGATCTCCTCATTTGATGAAACTCATGTGTGATCAACTGTGGGACGATATTACAATAAATGCTAACCAATATTTATAAAGACTAATGTATCTTTCAATATTTTTAAGACCAGCATCTGAAAAAAGTTAGCTATTTTTTTTTTTAAATACACGAACAATTTCTACATTATATTTTAATAATTAGATTATAATTAAATTAATTCATTTAAGTAGAATAATAAAAGTTCCTTACATAAAAGTATTTTTGAGACAACGTGTTCACTCTACATGTAACTAATTGCTATGTACCAATGAACTTGTTAAAAATAAAGTATAATAAATCTAAAATAAACAAAGCTTATAAATTCTTGCAATTAATAATTATCTTCGTCAGGACATTTCTTTGAATCACGTGGCATTTGACTAGGCATTAAATTTTTAAATGATGTAACACCATAAGTTCTTAGCCATGTCTTTGTTTGCAATTTTGATGATGACAGTGACCTATAAATTTAAATATACAAAGTCAAGCTAATATGAAAATTGGGAAATATATGTACTTACTGTCTTATTTCTTCAATTACAGTATTTACCATTGCAGGAATAGCAACTTGTGAAAAGTGCTCAATTTCAGTGAAAAATTTAGGTTTCTCAGTGGAGTAACCTGTATACGATTTATAAACGAAATTGATTAATGTATTAAAAGTCAGCTTATAATCATCCGTCATCAACTACAAGAGCAATGAAATCTAATTAAACAAGGATTATAGGTTTTATATTTACAACTGAATTGTGATAAAAATTCATACCACTAAGCAAAAAAATCCTGGATTATTTACGTGATGATTTAAGTAAATTGTTCTTGTTTTTATTACAAGATCAGTATACATTTCTTTCAAGTATTCCGGATTTTTTGTTTCCATCAGGAACTTGAAATAAATGACAAAACTGCATTATATTGTGCAGTGTTATTAAGGTCGAAAGAAATTTTTTTTGTACAAACTTGATCAAATAAGGTTTCTTCACTTGACGCTGATTCGCTTAAATTATCTGGAGTATGTAATTCTCGATGGATTAACGTGCTCCTACGTTGCATCATTTTTGCCTGATGCCGTTTTCGCTTTAAAACTTCGTCTTCTTCTATGGTCAGTCCTTTATCCAAAATGACCTAATCGAGCATACTTATTACTGAATTCGTTAATCATCAATTATTAATATCTTATACCCTTAGATCGCTTTCTTTATTTATTTTGGAATTCGATGTATCAATGAACTTCAGGGTTGCATTCTCTTGTTCTCCTTGAAATTTGATATACTTTTTTTCTTCAATTTCTACCTCACTTTTCGTCGAAAAGACTCTAGGAAGCGATGAATTGCTGTCGCGTATAGAAGTTTCATTTTTACTTTCTGCTTCTTGTTCAAAGTTATCTACTTCCTAACAATGATAATTTTTACAACAGTACTTGTAATAATGTCACTGTAATGACATGGGATAATATTATTATTATTCATACATGGCCTGAATCATCGTCATGAACGTGTACCATAGTACCTTCAGATTCTGTACTATATTCGTTCATACTTCTGCTTTCTTTTGGCGAACCCTCCATACTTTCCTTAGCGCATGTATAAACATCAAACTTTTCCAGAATCCAATTGCGATGAATTTTTTCACTTTTTGTCAATACGAGAATTGGCTTAGTATTCGAATACCGTTTACACATTTGTATAGTTGCATGCAAGTCCATTTGTGTAATGCCAATTTTCTTTTCAGATATTAATGAAGCAATTTGATTATGATCTGCTTAAATGTATAGGTCAATTACGATTGGTCTGTACTTGATGAAGAATTTAATATATAATTTAATATATTTTCAACTAACGAAACCCATAACTATTCCCTAACATTTCTTGAATCGCCAGAAATTCTCCACGACGAGACATGTCATTAAATTCTTCTCTATTTGCAAAAATGAATGACTGCCTTTCTAGGTTACTATCTCCTAATTCTTTTGTGGTATACCATGAGCAGTACTTTATCTAAAATCAATTGTTAATCTTAAACACTTTACCTCAACATTTCTAGATGTAGCTATATTACCTTCTTTGAAAATGTGTGAACAACATGGAGAGCTAAAGATACTTTTTTCACTGCTGATGGACCCGTAAGTACTAATAAAGGAGGGCTTGCTACATCGTATGGTAATACATGCAAATCAATTGTAGGTGTATTTAATTGTTCTAATAAAGTTAATTTTGTTACAGTACGGGCTGCTGTTAAATCTACTGGTGATGCAAACAAAGTGGCTGCAACAATCTGTTTGAATTAATTTCTTCGCTATAATTAAACTATTGTATTTGACCATTTAAATCCATACTTTTTCTGAAGTAAGTACAGGAACACCATCAATTTTTTGTATACTTGGTATGGAGAACATGAGAACAGCTTTATAATTAGGCCATTTTGTGCAACCATTACCTCTAAGATCTATTTCATCAATGAAACCCTTAAAGTTTATTAATTCTAATAAATCTGAGATTCTATTAAATTTCAAATCTATTATCCGTAAACTGTACCCATCCTAAACGAAAATGTGAGATTTGAAATATTTTAATAATTGATGAATCAGGTATGGTATGATGGATATCATTACCTTAAAAAATTCCAGATTGGAGATTCTATTATATCCTAAATATATTTCTCGCAAATGTGGCAAAGTGTTGATATTGTATTCGGGTATAGCAGATCTAAACGATGTTATACAATTGCCTTCCAGGTTGAGATGTTGAATATTCAGTTTATCCAAATTCTCAATACATTCGATTAAATTGTATGACAAATTTAAGTATTTCAAATATCTAAAAATATCACATTGGAACAATACTTTTCTTTCTCAAGTAAACAGTATGTATACTAACTTCAAATTCTGCAAGCCGGTGATTACTTCTATTGCATTGTGAGATAAATCTAAGTGCACGATACTCCAAAAACAACTGATATCGCGCATCTCTGATATATAATTATAGGATAAATTTATATATGTCAAGTACCAAGGTGGATGAAAATCTAAAATCGTACTGATTCTATTATGCATTAAATTTAAATACATTAAGTATGGAACTTTTCCCAAAGGAGACAAATTCGATATATAATTATATGCAAGATCAATATATCGTAAATAACGATGGAAATGTAAAGTTGCAATGTTTGATATAGCCTATAAGAAAATGGTCTGTATTAAAACAAAAACAAAAAAGATTTTTTTGTCAGTGGTGCTAATAAGATACCATATTCCTCATGACATATTTGTTTAAAACATAGAGGCCATTTTCTGGGGATTTAGCCAAGAATGACGACCCAATTCCAATTAATCTATCTGTTAGAAAACCGCAAAACTCTAAATCATTCAACATCACTTCTTTAAGGTTTCTTAATTGCACAATGGGTGCTTTATCATCATCCCATGCATTTGCATCTAAAGCATAACTACCCCAACTGCTTTCAGTGGCACAATATATTGCATCAATATTTGTTGGAACTGGCATATGGTCTAGTACAATCGATGAGCTAGACTTCAAATTTATAAGAAAATTATTAGTTTGGTTTTATTAAATACAACTACCAAGTAATATTTACACTTGAGCTAGATGAAATTGAAGAAGACGATGAACTAGACTTGTCATACAAAATTTCATATGGCACATCTCTGTCTTCTAATGAGCCCCAACTCATATCACTATGTAACAATAAATCAGAATCACTGTCAACATGATCATCTTCAACAGGATCCTTATGTGGTTTTTCTTTTCCAATAGTAATTTGAATTACATTTGATCCATACAGTGATGTGGCAGAAGAGAAGAGATATGTAGGGAACTACATTAAAAAAACGATAGTAAAAATTAAATACTGTAACATTAATCCTAAATTTGAATTAACATATTACATTACCTTCCTATTGCTCATTTTTATATCAAAAATATTCATATAAATCAGTAATTAATGATTTTCACATATTTATAAACAGTTGAATACGTTGTTACATATATGGAGCATAAAAATAAATTAATAACTATATACTAGCAACTAAAGCTTTTAAAGCTACATCCGAAAAACGGTAGTGATGCCATCCTTCATCTACTGTTAAATCTGCCGCTCCTTTAATTTTATAAAACGATTGTGCAGGATTCCACTCAAGGACTGAAAAGTCTAATCTGCAGCAATTGTTATCTAAGGCTTCCTATAGTGAACAATACATTTGTTAATTAAGATTTATTTAAATATTAACATAATTAATAATGAGTTCTTTATATTAGATAGTTTATACCTTAGCTACACTTTTTAACAATTTACTACCAATATGTTGTTCTCGATACTTTTGAGTTACATATATATCTTCTAAATACATGGCTTTCCCACACCATGTAGAATATGTGTAGTATGAAATTGCATATCCTATTACTTTTTCATTAACTTCTGCTACAAAGCAAATGAAGAAGGGTTGTTTTGTGTCGAATCCATCTTTTTCCAATGCTAAAATTAATAAATTCATTTACAACTTAATTTTTAATATTAAACAAAAATACCTTAAACTACATCAATACTTTTGTAATCAATTCTTGGTCCCTCCGACATTTTTTCAAAATCTGCCAGTTCCTATAAAAATGTAACAACAAAAGTTGAGGGTATATTATCTACATATATATAGATTTGACAACAAATAAAAATGTAATATTCTACTTGTATTAAGTTCCTTATATCTTTGCAATCTTCACGTTTCGCTTTACGAATTATAGTTTCCATATCTAATAATAAATTTAGCTTTCCTCTCTGTTGATAGCAACTTACAAAACACGCGTGGATTAACTTAACCTTCGACTCTAAAAATGTACATA